GCTTCTGCGAATGTGCATCTCGGAGATGCGACGCCGGCTTCGCCGTCCCCCCGGATAGGAGATACCTCTTCGGACCTATCACCACTTTGTCAGTCGACAGGCTCAAGCGGACAAGCCGATAACCGCGGTATCCCTCACAGTATGTGCATTTCCAGAAAATCCGACCGGCTTTCTGCTCCTTCGTACCGTGGTGATGAATAAACGATCGTGTTCGCGTAGAAGGTTGTAGCAGGAAATCGTTGTTTGTATCGCTGCCGTCGGTCTGAGTCGGCGAGTGCATCATCTCCGCAGGGGGGGATATCGAAGGTAGCTGGACCGTTTCTCGCCAGCTGTTGACCTCTGGCTTGATGGTTTCTGGCGGTGTGGTGGGGAAGGAGGGGATAGTTCGCGAATCCATTGGGACGGGTAGTTTTGGCCGTGGCTGGGATGGTAAGAGTGGAAAATGGCAAACAAGAAGACAATTTAGGATTGCATTGGCTTACGACGGGTAGTTAAGACAGGCCAGCAGCCAGATGTGTGATGCGGCGAAAATGTATGAGTTTGAGCGTAGTGGTTGTGGTGCGGTAGGAGTATGGAAAGCACTGATGTGCCACACGTGTAAATTTTGGGTCTGATGAGGTTGATCCCCAATGCGCAGTGGGCGGTGGGCGACCTTGAGAAAGAGGGACTGACACATAGTCTAACTTAAGTCTTCTGTGATGGATGTTCCTATCACCGAGTGAGTTCGAGATTACAGTTCACGGGTATTGTAGCGAGTGAAAGTGTGGAACAACCCTGCTTGACACTGTGATCCCTGGCCAATTCCCCGGGTGCCCCACAAACTCTCTCGCCTGGTTTAACTCATGGTGCTGCCATCGGGGACCCTATGATACAGTACCGCTACTTGCCTAGATGCCACAACTGTTTACCACCGGGCCGCACCAGCTGTTCGAGAGCAGACGGGTTCAACATGGGCGTGATAGCCAAAGCTTGAAGCTAGCTTAAAAGTTGGGGTGATGCACCGCAATTCGCACGGAACGTTTGGTCCCTCTGTCTCTGCCCCCGTACAGTAGGTTGGGCCTCTGTGATCATCTAGTTAACAAGGCAAAAAAAAAGAAAGAAAACCCATACTCAGAGCATTGTGACATTCAAGACCCTACCGGTAATCCAATACTGGTTGTCGTTATGCACTTGGATTGGTTTGGGCCATCCACCCTCGTCGATTCCATAATTCCATCTACCATACACCTACCGGTCTGTACTGAGGTTTGTCGCGCGGTCCTGATTCCACCAAATCCAGCATTGTTTCCCCAGACAAGGGGCTTTAAGGAGGAGCGTAAGAATTTTAATTTTTTTAATTTTTTTATCAAGTCCTCCTAGCTCGTAGGAGCAATGCTAGGCGATACTATTGAGTATGATAACTAAAGGTCCTTTACAAACCTGGGGGGAATTTATGGGATACCTTTAAAGGTTCTTCAGGTAAACTCCCCTTTATTCTAATCACTATGGTATGGCAATTTCTGCTCCATCGCCTCACTGATGCGAGATCTCCCAGCATGCAAACGAGACTAGAAAAAAGTCCTGCTACACACCAGTTTTGTCATGGTCTTCTACCCCTTTACTTACTTCAGATTTACATTTGACGAATGGGCTATCCCAGCTAAATAATTAAGCAGCTGCTGCGAGCGAGCGCTTGTGTTTTGCGGTATCATTATGCCCGATCTTGTCCAGTCTATGTTAACTAACCAAGAATCTGGAGATACAAAGTTTGAGCCCCAGGGAGCTAAGTACCCGGCAAGATCGTGGAGCATTACGATTCTTCACAACAAGAGTACCCCTGCGTTAGCCCAGCCTGACTTAATGCCAAATAGAAGATCCCTACGGAGAGGGATGTCTATTGTTGGTACACTTTTAAGGTTACTTTTCAGAAAACGCTACCCACGGTATCTCGCTCACGGTCTTCGGTCTCAATGTTGTTCCGGAATATCATTGAGCCCCTTTTTGAACCCACTAAGACTCGTGTTGCTGGTATGTGGGCCATGCGGAAAAACGTGATTAAAGAAGTTGCTTCTCAGGAGAAAACACTAATTTGAAACTTACACCAGGAGCAGATAATAAGCTCTTGGAGATGTATCATCTTATTCAAAGTTTACTATCTTGTGAAAGGGTCAGGGGTGTCGAGTTAAACGAGTTTGGGGGAATATTGTTGTGCAGTCTACCGGATTGTACTTTACAGCAGTGAGAGATCTTATCAAGAGGTTGTTCCCCCCGCCACAGAAAGAGAAGAGCATTGAAGTAAAGAACGACTGCATGATGAAACCGCTTCTTCGGCTGCTAATACATTCCCGCGGCACCACTTTTCCCCGAAAAAAAACGGGATGATGTGTAATACAACTGCATGGTAAGCACCCTAGGCTTGGGGAGGATTATGTAATTTACGATATCTGAAAAAGTATTCTAGTGTGGTATATGACACAGCAGCTATAGTGGACGGTTTTTGACCCTGATCTAAGTGGTCAAGAACTTGTGATACCACGAAGTACACGGTTACCAATTAAAGGCATTGGATAACTGGCGATATTCGAGCACGCTGGCCAGGAAGCTCAAACCAAACGGCAATGAAACTAGGAGCAGTCTTGACTTTCGGGGGGGTTTTTTTTTTTTTTGAGGGGGGGGAAGCGCCGTAAAGTTAAGCTTTAAATGTCTCAATTTTATCCCTCCTCAGGTCGCTGAGCCAAAACAAAAAAAAACACTTATGATAGAATCATGTTAGATCCTCACTTTGGGCTAGAAAATACGCTAAAATTCTGTGATTTTTCTTTCGTCGGTGAACAAGATCAAGTTTTCAGGTATTTCCAGATTACACTAACTCGAGTTTTCCCTTCCTAGTGATTTGGCCCCACGGGAATGACAGGTCAAGTCTATGGATAAACACCTTTAACTGCCAGACAACAGACTCGTAGGTATTCACCCACCTCTTTCAATCTCCCCCAACCTAGTCGAGGCTTCTACCATAACCTCGTTGTGAGCTGACCTGCAAATCAGATTGATTTCTATCATACTAAACTAGAGTTTATCACATTATATTACTCGGCTATCGGTATGATACTTGCATTCTCATCTCCTAAAAGTGGAGGCTTGGACCCTCAAATGATTCATATTTACTATGATACATCAGCGATACATCAGCCATATACATACACAACACGCATCATAAAGAATATCTCATGACCTCTGGCTGAATTGGGTGTTGCTGAAGGAAAACACGAAAAAGCTTACTATCGGAACATTGATGGGAGCTAAAAAAAAAAAAAGATACAATGAGAATTCTCGTCGTGCACTACGCTCGTACCAAAGCATCATACCTACCAACTATTCCAGTGATCACTCGTGAAGCTCAGGACGGGTAACCATAAATGTGGGCAACGAAGGTGAATATATTGGTGAATTTTCCGGAAGTGTGGTACGACATTTGAGGAGCCTAAACCCCCTCTAAATTGGAAAACAATTGGCCAGAAAAGGTGAGTAAGTCTTCTATTATTTCTGGCTGGCTGAGCTCCTGGGACCTTCAATTGAGAGTATTCACGGGAACAGCACCCCGAGGGCGTATTTCCAAGATATTTACGGATTTCTGGTTTGAAGGCCTCCTCTCGCGGACAAACTCCCCAAAGCAGAAGCCATTCACTCCGCCAGATTGCAGATGTATAGGCACACAAGGGGTCCCAGAACCCCCACGCCATAGCCCTCGAGTCCACGGGTAGGACACCACTCAGGGAATTACAAGAAGACATAAGCCATCACTCGGAATCTCGAGGCCTGTGTTTTTTCTTTTTTCTTTTTCCAGACAATTGGGGCCATGGCAGGGGAGAATCCTCTACGCTAGTAGAGGCATTACGGCGTATGTCCCCGCTCGGGCGCCAAATTCGCAAGACATGTACCTTATCGAGAGCGTACTCGTATCACTACAGTAGCTTACCTCCGGTGAAAGAGTAACACACAACACTTTGAGCTAGCCACCCCTCCCCCGCAAACAAGCAAACAAAGTGCAACCTTACCAACGATGCAGCCAGGCCTACTTGTCCTAGCCGAGAAGTTCTCAAAAACGGGGATCAAAGAAATACAGTACATGGAAAATCAACTCGCCTATATCTAAGCGCCAATTCAAGATATGCCTCCTCTATTTCCGGTGCTTCTTGTTTGGGACAAGTATATTGCTGCCCCGGAAGATTCAACATTTCAGATCAAGCCGTACCAACCTCTGGCCGAATCGAGTACCACCAACACCGTGGAAAGCTACAGCACTCCCAAACTTCCAACTACGATACCATATCAATAGATTATTGATTTCAAACCCCAATCAGTACAACCCCAACAATGTTCGATCTCAGGCATGACAACCCCATTTAAAATCCTTGTGTGATATTGCCCTTCCCAAACTTGTATACTGCTATGCATGATCCCTAATACAGTCGATCGATACCGCCCTAGTACGGTAACATAGTAGCTATATTTCAATGCCCGGCCATCTCCCCCTGGTCATGATCTCTCTTCGATGCAGGAACCTGCACAACCATTGTTTCTGTGTGGGTCCAGGCTCATTTCAAACATTTTCGTGCGCGTTCGTATTCTGCACTCGCCAAACCACCCGTATCCGACACCTTTCCAGTCTTGCTAGGAGAAATGAGGGTCAAAACGATGTAGCCCCCATCACCAAAGTCTCGGCACCTATCAAAGCCTCCGGGTAAATTGTTCCCGATAGGTTACTCATGTGATGTCACTCGCCAAGAGGGCAGAAACAGAACACCCGGGCGGGTAATCAGCGTATGCTGGGGTAGGTGGGGAAGAGGGGAAATCTCCGAAGGGTAATCCCTGCGTGTAAGGTACAGTAGAGTACAAGTTCTGTACTGTACATAACACACCGCAGTTTGGCATTGCCCCCGAGTTTTGTGGGGGAATATTTGTTTTACGAGCATGGTAGCAATTGCGAGCCCACGGGACACACCGGCGAATCACAATATAGACACAAGTGGCACCGGTCAGGATTTATTCAGAAAACCTCTATAGAAGTGATCTAGCAACTAAGAGTGTTAAGAAGACTAATTCTTCTTCTTCCCAGTAACGGGCGCCTCCTTCTTCTGCGCCACAAGGACAACAGCAGGCCAGTGCTCCTTGCTACTAAGATCCTCAGAGCGGCCCCACTCGAGGTTTCCGAGAACGGGCATCTCAAGTTCGTCATCCGCCTATTCGGTTAGCAGATATGCATTTAGAAATAGGGGTATTAGATTATTATTTACTTTCTTCTTGAACTGCTTGTGAATCGCGACCAGCACGTCATAGACACTAACACCAACAGTGGAGGATGAGCCCGCACGGGCGGTGACATGCAATCCGAGAGGAAAGTAAACGTCTAACAGCTTGACTTTGGGGGTGGTTATTGGGATTTCCTTGAGAGATTTCCAGTCATCGAGATGCGAGGGATGGGTATTCAATTTCCTAAAAAGATGCTGTGTTAGCTTTGTGCCATTCCGCCAGCAGTCCAACAGTAGGGAGAGAGGGAAGACAGACCAGTTCAATCTAGAGATCTCTTTGGCAACCATTAAAGTTCCCTCCTCTCCGATGATGTCCTCTGTGAATTGATTAGCATCCTTGTCAGTAAGCCGATAAACCAGCAAGACATACTGAGTTCAGCTGGTTTGTAAACGTCGGTGACGGAAGAACTCCCCCTACGGTGACTTCCCTTTGCGGCGGCCTTAGAGCTAGATGGAGCTTGGTTTTCAGGAGGGACATCGGACTTGGATTTGGTAGCGGCCATTATTGTTGAGTGTTTGTTTGATGGAGACTAATCTCACTGCGTTTGATGATGGTGTTTGATGGTGGAAGTGAATTTTTCTGGCTGCTTTTGAGTAGACAGAAGGGATGTGAGAGAGAGGGGAGAAGGAAAGAAAGGGGTGGAGAGGGAGAGAAGAAAAGGCAGCGATAGGGCTCGGCGTGGTGTGAGGGTTAAGGAACGTCTGGGACTGGAACGGGTTGCGTTAACTGACCATGAACCGTGCGCTTTTGTTCGGCTGAGACATCCCAGCTTCGTGTGACAAAATGCGGGGTAATATAAATTTACTACCGTAACACTCTATCTGACTAACGCCGCTTTGTCCATTACGCTTGCTATTCCGACCTATCCCGAGCCACCAGGCCATTGTGAAGGGGACATGCCGGCCACTGCTAGACTACTATTACCGACCTGGAGAAAGAAGGCCAGTTCGGTGAGAGGCCTACGGTAGTCTAGTCTACCGATCCCTACGAGTGACAGCAGCCCAGTGCCGGTACCAAGAATACTGACAAGCACCAAATTCACTGCAGCAGCCAGTGTTGGTAAATCTGGGGCCGCTGGTCGCCCATTCCCACCCCCATTTTGCACAAACCCCATCCCGATGCGGCTTAGCTCAGAGGTCTTGGCACCCCAGGTTCGTGAGTGTGGGGACGTGGGGTAACATGCTCGCCCAATCTATTTCCTGAAACGGCTGTCCAATTTCGAAGCGTAACCAATACGAGTAGGTTATCCGCCAGGTTATTCTATTGGCCTCACCGGTTGCGTTAAGTGTAGACTATCGCCGCGGACGTAATAGAGCTTTCAATTGTGGGACCGCGTGATGGATGGGCGCCTTTTCCCCATTGGCTATTCGAGTGCCAGTATTGGAGGCAAGGCGACGATTTGGGCCAGCCATGATAGACGATACTTTAGCAGTGCGTCTTGTGACATCATGAAGTTGTGAAGTTTGCTGTAATTTAACTTAGTCTAGCTGCGAAGTGCCGATGGGAATCGTCCAAGTAGGGTCCCCACATTTCAACACAACAAGCTATCTGTGAGTAATGCTCTGGGAGAGAAAAATGCTGTGATAGGATGAATGAAAAAACGGGTTCAAGTATTTGCTTGTGAGAATTAAAATACGGTAAACAAGACCGTTCATATTTTGGTGGTATTTTTTTTGTGAAACCACCCCCCCCAGGCATGCAAATCCCTCTAAACCTCCAATTTACCAGTTTAACCATATCGCAATCTCTACTGTACAGTACACCATTTCGAACCTGGGGTAGCGATGCACGTCGACAGTCCGCTACTGCACCCACGAAACTAATTGGGCATCCGTGGATCTAGATCTATCGGAGCGCCCTTCCTGCCATACCGATAATGCGTGGCACTCCATGAATAATAATAAAGGCCCATAAGATCTACCCGGAAAAAGCCCCCAAACCCTTGGGCAACTAAGTAAGCATCACCCAGAATCACCCGTCGTCCTTTAAGGGACCCGGTGACTCCTGCCCACAGCTTCCAGGTCAACTGCCACCCGCCAATCTTTCCATGCCAGCTCCCCGCCCCCCTACCTTCTGCATTGCTCGTCTCAACGTCCCCCTAGCCAAATATCCCTCAGGGACGACCGCATAAGGATCTTTCCTAGTCCCTTTCCCTTATACTCCCCTCGACTAATAACACCCTATCGGGCCACCTAGGGGCTTGAATACCCAGAGGACCGACAGCCATTGATGGAATGGTGTGGCTTGTTGCAAATGCCAAACACCCTGTGGGTTCCTAGACACGACAGAGGCACTACAAACCCTTTCTATCTATTTTACCATCGTGGGTTAGCCGAGAGAGTACCCTTCGAGCAAAGGGAAAGGGCCGGTCACATCATTCGTGTGAATAAGGCACTCACCCACTGCCCGGAGTGGAGAAGTTTTTCTTTCGCTTCCAGGATTTCGGCGATGAGATTGTATACGCTTCCCAGCATGAATCCTCTCAATCCATCGGTTTGCGGACGATATGCCTTGGTGCATGCTATTATGTCGAAGATGTCCTTTTCCAGCGCTGACTTTTTTCGTCTTTTTTGGGTGGTCCTTTTCACCGATGACGCGTTTAAGCTTGAGACGGCCAGCAGTTCGTGGTATCCCTGTGTGACGGATTAAGAAATTCTGCCGCCCACACTGCCGACAATGCTCCCCCCGGGCTAAAACTTGCAAGAGGGACGACTGGTTTGGCCCTCATTGTGGATTGAACTCCTAGCACTAATGGTAAAGAACGTGGTATCGCAGCTGGGGGGTAAGCTCTGGAAGAAGAGTCAACTCGCCGCCGTGGGGTTGGTTTGTTGTTTCGGCCTTTGGCGCCCGGGAGAGAGAGTGGCAAACATTGAGATCTTCTGAGTCGATTGATGAGAGGGGTTTTGTTTTACCGCTGACTAGGGTAGCGAGAGTTGGCAACGATTTTCTACCTGGAGAATAAAAATAGTGGCAGCTATGATATGATAGCCTATTTTCCTTTCGGACTTATCCGTGGTGACACCAAGGGTTTGAGCGCTACCGGTGTTGATGAGTTTAGATCCGCATGGTAAGTACCGGTATTATCTTTCGTGATATTTCAGTTACAGTCACAGCGTTTTCGCTCTACTGTATTATTATTACACATAAAGGCTCAGCTAACCCTACCGGAGCTAGACAAATATACCGCGCGCTGAGGGTTCGTGAAGAAAGGGGCTGTTTAAGCTAAAGCACCGATGTGGGGGAGGCTCCCTAAGTGGCCCATGATCCGATCCTAGTCGTTGCAAGCAACCTGGTCCATCGGTATGATAAAATAAGTGATACGGTATGATAGCGTTGTTGGTCGGGGGCACAAACTCCGGGGCGACGGGGCGGGGGTAAGAATCGAGCGCATTTATCGAACCCCGACTGATAGAATTGAGAACTATCCAGATCATGAAATATCACTCGAAAATATTAAAGTCGAATTCTATCATACGGGATCCACGGAATGTTAAGCAGTGGCCCCTCAATCTCTCCGATTCAGCCGCTAAGATGTGCATGATTGGATCCGCCTTGCTCCAGTTCACTTGCAGCCCACTACTTATTAAATTAAAACAATATTGAATTACCAGTTCGCTAACACGAAAGAATTCCAATCCCACAATCGCTAATAGACCCAACTCCATCAGTAAGTCAATAGAATTGCCTTATTCATCTCACCCACTAGATCTCGCCCCAGCCGCCGCTTTCTTCTGTAAATCGTCTACTTTCTTGCGCTCTTTCCGCCTCTCTTGCAGCGCGTGTTGGAAGTCCTCGTGGAAGTTTTTCATTTCTAGAAACATTAGAATATGAAATTGCAGAAGCAGGAAGGGGGGGGGGGCACACCCTCAAGTGTCTGGAAGTCAATCTCGAACCACTTGAAATCATCAAAATCCTCTTCGTCTTTAATTAATAGCCCTTCCATATCTAGTCTGATCCCACCGGATAAATCCCGGTTTCCGATAATGCAGGCTTTGACAGAGCTACGGTTTCCAAAAGCTTTGAGTGAGCTAGGTTTTATCCTTAGGCATCGGTTCCTGGTCTTTGCCTCAATGGTTATATCGTCCGTTACTGCCCCCAACGATCAGTTGATAACCTCTAGGGATACAGAGTCATGAGGGAGGTCCTACTGAACAAGGTCATAATAATCTCATCAAAGTACATGACCAATCTTGTTGAATGGACCTTTAAGATGGAAGACTTATTAGGCTTTGATCGAAAGGTACCGGCTATCGAGGGAGCTTTTGAGCTATCTCCGCTGGAAGCGGCTGCACTATCTTCCTCCTTCCAGAGTTGAACCCTCGCCTTGTAGTTGCAGTGCTCGCCGTCGAGAAGCCCACGCTTATAGCGGATTGTACGGACAGCTTGAACATCTGCCTCCACCGATTCCCCGGTGAAAGCTAGCTGGAAGAGAAACATGTCCATTACGTTCTTGAACCGGTAGTAGAGTGTTATCGGGCATAATTCTGCAGAGCTAAGCGTTGTTCTACCCTTTGATCCAGACTGAATTGAGTACCCGCCCACACCGGCTTTCCGGATGAAGATCACCGGCAAGTTCTCGTGGTACCCGTACTCAGGGACAAATTCGGCATCTTTAAGGACGACTAGTAAAAATTAGCCTTATTCGGGGGCGAGGGGCGAGCGGATTACCGAAACGCTGATCTGTTGACCCCTCCCGCTGGGTCAGAATCCTCAAGTCACCCATTGCGTTCCGAAAAACTCTGACAACACATTCATCCCATCTCCCCTCGGGATCACATGAGTCTGAAGCCAATACATCCCTATGGCAAGGAGCGTTAGTACGTACCTCAACAACACAGTAGATTTTAGGATGGGGTATCTTACAAGGCCTTGAACTCATCTTTCATAACCTCCATTTCTCCAGGGCGAACACCATGTTCAACCGGCTCTGAGAACGAGCCTCCAGAATTCCTAGCAGCTGCATAGGGATAAGTCGGGGACACAGGAGACATATACCCATTTTTATTAGGCATCCTGCCCCCTTGAGATTGATTGACGCTAAGGTTTCGGGTTCTATGCGCCCCGAAATCCCCCGGACTTACGTCTGACGGGGAGAACGGGGCGGATGAAGTGCTGGTATCCAATGGTGGTAAAGGCTTTGTTGAGTAATAGCTTTGCTTCAGCGGTGAGAGATTCAGAGGTGCAGTGTGCTCCTTTGACCGGGAGGATTGCAATGGTGGGACACCAAATTGCATGGAGTTTATTTGCGACATGGATGTCGGACTTGTTGTAGCAGAACTCCTTGATGCTGGATAATTGCCCAGAGTTGGAGAGTCGAGCCTTCTGTCTTCAAGGAAGCTATTTTTTCCCAGCGTGGAGGCATTTTGGGAACCAGCATCTCGTTTACTTTTCGCTACTCTCAAACCATTTACATAACTCATGCTGGTGGGTTCGCTGGCCACCGTGCCTGGGGGTGATGACGGGGACTTTGCTTCTGGAACCTTTTTCCTCAGGATTCTTGTATTTGAGCGGTCAAGTGATGGCCCTTTCGCACGCCGTAGGGCATCTTCGCGCTCTAGGACTAGCTGGGATTCCTTAAGGTTTTGGGGGCTTTTCTCATATCGGGTCTCCCGACTACCGACGCCGAGTGATTTAAAAGCATTTTCCAACTCGTCATCGGGATAACCCTTGGCTGAATAGCTTTCATAGGTGCTGTATTCCGCTGGGTGGACTGCAACATTGCTCATTTGCACACTTGGAACGCTGGGGACGTTCCCGGTTGGTGGCTTTGGCGAGTGCTGTTTAGAGGTGTGGTTTTCTGAGATTGGCAACTCAATTTCCTCATCAGCGTCATCGACCAGTATTCGGAAGTCTCCAAGATTATTAAGAGTATTCCAATCTGGCAGCTCAGCCTTAGCCTCCAGAAGCCTCTTCATTGAAAAAGCAATGTCCTAATTTATTGTTAAGGAAAACCCCTGATGATCGCAATACCGGTACGGATCTCGGATAAGGGCTCTTACATTTGAGACTAATGCCAAGATTGCTTGTAACTCCTTCACCATCTGCTCTGAGCGTGGATCTTCCCGAATTTTGCTAAATATCCAATAGGATTTGATAAGATTAAGCCATCCCTCCGTAGTTGGAGTTCCAGATGTTCCAGCATTCTTGATGTCTGAGCTCGCTTTGTAGGTCCAGTACATGCAACTCTTCAAAACCGTATCTAGCTTGAAGTCAATAGTAAAGGCGCCTCCGTTTATGGCTGAATTTTCGTTGAATTTTATCACAATCGAGTCGTCCACAATACCGCCGGCGCCGGATGTGAGCAAAGATAATAGCTGCTCTAAGTGTTGCTCTACAGGGTCGGCGATTTCGATTAAGGCGTCAATGTGATCCCTATATATCGTTAATGGGGCTCCGAGTGGATGATCTAAAATTGATGGATTACTACTAACCTTCTCAGCACGCGATAGGCGATCTCGAAAACCCAGCAGTGATATTTGATATCCTCCAGCGCGTTGAGAAGCCCCCGATCACCTCCGTTAAATCTCATCTTCATCCCGAAGTTCGCCCACCATTTCTCCGTCTGAGCAGCATGTATCCTACAACTCCTCAGTAGGTTTTCGGCATCGTCCAACGTGGCATTGACGCCGGTAACGGTGAGTTGTAATGTTTTGTGCGCCGCAATTTTATTGTCTATTCTCAGGATAGTCGAATGGGGATTATTGTTCTCGTCGATAATCTGGCCGAGCAAAGCCCTCAACCTCTCGAGCTCCCTTCCGAGTGAGAGGATCAGACAGGGCGCATGGATAATTCCATGCAGATATGTTCTCAGGATATCACCTGTTCGTTCATGGGCTTGAACATGTTCTGTGAGCCCCACGCCGAAACCCTCGAATACGAATGACATGGGTAATGGCAAAGCCCGCAGAGCTTTCTGCTGAAGGTTTTATTTTCTGTCTGTCTGTCTGGTAGGTAAAGACAGGGAAAAAAGGGAAACGACGTGTGTATGTAGGGTACGGCAGTGTGCTGTATGATATGTACCAAGGTTAGGTCGTTTAACGTGGGGTTTGAGTTGATGGAAGCCCTGCAAGTCGACGTGGAAAGTAGACGTCGATCTTAACGAGTAAGTTAAGTAAGAGCAGAAAAATAAAAAAGTTGCCAAGATGGAGCGCAATCGCGGAAACATGCGGTAATATCATACGGTACGCTGTCCAGGAGGGTAAAATTTTGAGATTTCAAGGCTCAAAGTGCTTGTGTCAATCCATACCCACCTAAATGCAGCTGCACGCATACTGTATTTGCTTTTCCCCCGGGGGAGGAGTGACTAAGCCACTCTAAAGATTTATTTTCTTCTTCCTCCCAGGCTTGGTCTCCCGACAAGTCGCCTCGCCATCTCACTGCTTTGAGAAGATCAGCCTAAGTAACGTCTCGACCATTACTACCGGCGCTGGTTGGAGGTTGGGGCAACCGAGGGAGGGTGGGGAAGAGCGGGGGGGAAAGGAACTGTAAAGGGGAGAAGGCTGCTAATGCTGTGATGATATGGTACCGGTGTTCCGGAGAACACTCGTTACACGGGATGGGTGCGGGTGCTGTATGATAGGGTGCTGTACCTGTACCATACTGTACTCGTACTCGTACCGTACAGTACTCGTACCTTCTGAATGGTGGGACACGGATATTACCATGCCTACCGAGCAAGATTACCAAACGAAAGGACACACAATGCATCGCCTCCTTTAACCTACTTTCCCTCTCTCTTATTATCGGTACACACGTGTAGAGCATTGTGGGATGGGATATAGTACTCTAAAGACCAGCCGGGATGCGCCGCTACCTGCGTGGCATGGACCATTCGGAAGAGGCGGGGGGTGTTCTAGATAGTGCAAGCAGGATATTGCTGCAACTGGTGCGATATATCTACTCCGATAACTTGGATGAAAGAGATCATCACAAAATACCGGTATGGATACTATACCACAGAAAATTACTCGAGTAAAGTGGGAAAGCCCCTGCAGTATCATACGAGCTGAATCTACCAAAGGACGTAGTTGGCCAACCAATGGATGCTGCCTATTCCTCTTTCGCCCCACTGCGAGTACCGGTATTGTACTTGTACCTTTATTAGGCAGAAGGTATCTCGAGATGAGACCCGCTTTTTTCTCTGGTTGGGCGGTTGTGTAACAATAACCGTATTCACAGATACTCGAGTACAGTACTTACAATATTGCCAGGTGCAAGTACTAGTACTGGCGCTTGTAAAATGCCTATCCCTCAGCGGTAGTGCATGGAAAATAAACCAGAGTGACAAGGGAAGCAAAGGACAACTTCTCGGTAATAAGCGAAGGGATACGGGTACTTGTACTGTACTGTACTGTGCGTTAGAGTACGAGTACTCGTAAATAGTAGCAAAATGAGACAGCAGAGCGCCTACGAAGAACACACCACACCCCGTTGGGTAACTTACCGTTGTACAGTACAAAGCTTTTTTCTTCAGCCATGCTAAAACGAATTACCCTTGCCAAACTATGCAATCTAGTAATAATAACCTCTTGGAAGAACAAGAGTCTACGGTACTGTACTAGTACCTCTCTCTCCGTTCATCCCCCCGCTTCTACCACCCTATCAATGATCCTTTTCAACACCCGGTCATCCCCTAGATACGGTATTGAGACTTCTCCCGATGTTCCAGCAGGATGGGCAAAAAGAGTCTGAGTGCGGGAAGGCTGTGACACCCACCAGATCCTCTTTGGTGAAAATACAGTACTTCGCCTTCCAGTGACCTTGTGATACGGGTACTTGTACCACCTCTGGAACAATTATTTCGACCCCCCCCCCTCCTAGTTACCGTAATCGTAACGCCAGGTCTTGAAGCACACACCTCTTCTCTCCCCTTTCTTCCCATCCCATGCAGCCACTGAGCCGAAATTATGAACAAGCTAGACGCGAGGCTGAGTGCTCGAGTACCGGTATTTAAACCCGCGTCTGCTGGAGATATACGAGGAAAAAGAAAAGTGACCACCGTCGCTCATTTGAGTGGAAAGACCGAAAACAGAGATACGACCAGCCAGCAGGCAGGCAGGTCTGGTATGATAGGTAACCCACATGCCTTTAACAAGGACCGCAAAGACCCCGATACACCTTGTCTCCCCATTTGCACCTAAATTTCACCAAAGATCTCCCTATGAAGAATTAGAGGAGCCTCTTCACCCATCAAACAACAATCAAGGCCGTAATAACAGCCACAACTCCATCGCCACTAACAGCCTCAACCTAGGAGGAGGAAAAACAGCACGAGGGGTAGCAGGAGAAGGCGCTTCCAGACCGAGAAGCGCGGGCAAGAAAAAGCCGAGAGCATCGCCTATAGGAACAGCTGGTCTCAAAGTAGGAATCGAGATGTCGCAAATATCGTCCGACTATTCGAGGACCCAATCCCCCGCAAGCTCCGCATTCCCAGCCTACTTTCGCCGAGACAGGAATACGCTCGCTGTTGAGAGTCTACCAGAATTGCCAAATAGCGACGCCTCTCACAGCGAGCATAATCACAGGGAGGAGGAAGGCAGGCGAGATTCGGGAGGAGGAGAAAAAAAGAAGGATGCCGTTTTCTACGCTCCGATTCCCGAGAAACAAAAGTTGGGGTATTTGTCTACGGCTGCACTGATCATAAATAAGATGATTGGTACTGGGATATTTTCTAAGCCCTCTTCGATATTGAGGAATACGGGGTCGAAAGGAGGGGCGCTGTTTCTTTGGGTTACTGGTGGGGTTATGACGCTTACTGGGTGAGGGATCTATAAAGGATAATTGAAGCTTGTCTCTTTCTAATGCCAATGGGATCCCTAGGTTATTCGTTTATCTAGAATTTGGCGTTGCTTTACCATTCAATGGCGGTGAATTGGTCTATGTAGCTCTTGCCCCCTCTGCCCCTCCTCCTCTGATTGCGAACACAACCTAATGTACAGAATAGCTAGACGAGGCATACGCACGCCCAAGGTACTTTGCGAGTTGTATGTTTGCCATCTTCTTCGTCTTGCTGGGAAACACCGCGGCAAACACAATTGCCTTCGCAAAGCATATGCTGGTAGCTTTCAACGACAAAGAGCCTGTCCCAGATTACCGACTGCAAAAGTTTGTAGCGTTAGTCTGCATCACGTTCATATGTCTCATCCATCTGTTCTCGCGCAAGATGGGAATCTTCATCAACAATGCATTGGCAGTGTACAAGGTTGCCCTGCTCCTGTTCGTGGTGATTTCAGGGTTCGTATGCCTGGGCGGTGGTGGGGGCGGTGATCATAAGGGCCCTTACGGGGCAGAGAATCTTAAGGATGCGTTTGAGGGAAGCTCTGGATCGCCGTATCATTATGCCAGTGCGATGTTGGGCGTGCTGTATAGTTATCAAGGCTGGGAGAATGCGAATTATGTGGGTTCCAATCTTGCGCTTAACGGGGGAAAGAATGCTAACCCTGAGTAGGTTCTCGCAGAGGTCAAGAGGCCGCGAGGGCATGAGTCTAGGACTTTTAAGCGTGCAGCTTTGGTGGCGTTCACAGTAGTCACTGTATTGTATATTCTTGCGAACGTCGCATATGTACGGTCTTCCGTATGCTGAATTAACAATAGACACTGGAACTGATATCAACGTCTAGTTTGCCGCCAGCACCACGGATGAAATCATGAAAGATGGTGTCACCGTCGCCGCCAGCTTCTTCATAAAAGTATTTGGCGACGGACCCTTGGTAACTAGAGGTCTTAAAGTCCTCATTGCTCTCTCCGCCTTCGGAAACGTCGTCGCGGTAACATACGCAAATGCTCGAGTCAAGCAGGAAATCGCGAAGCAGCGAATTCTACCATTCTCGGCGTTCTGGGCAAGCACCAGTCCATACGGGACCCCAGTTGGCGCTCTTATCCTGCACTGGATATTCACCGTGATCGTTATTGTAGCAGGTAAGTTTCCATGATCCTGATTGAGGATTCTGCATCACCAGAGGATCACCATCGCTAACGTAATGTTAAAGTACCTAATTACGGAGCCCAGGATGAAGCTTACAACCTGGTTAGTGTCTTGTTCACATACGGACACACCTGGATTGGAAGTACGTTACACTACCTTCCCACTCATTTTAGCTCCCGTAACCCTAGATGCATATCACAAGTTCTCCCTGAAACTAACCCCCCCCTTCTCGCAACAGTCTTTGTATCCCTCGGTCTGATCTCCCTCCCCTTCCACGAAAAATTCAGAGAGTGGCGACCCGCCGTCGTGAGCATCAGGAAGTTATACGGATTAGTAGCCCTCTACATAACCCTCAATATCTTCGTTATAGTCTTAATCTGGTGGCCCGACCCCAATGCTAAAATTAGCTCCTACGTCGCTCCCTCAGTCGGGACCTCCGTCCTCGGCTTTGGTGTGCTGTATTGGGTTGGTTTCGCGAAGATATTGCCCGCGTTAGGGTATCATATTGATTCCGAGCCGGATGAATTAGTTGATGGGAGTCGGGTTGTTACCTATAAGGTATTTGAGTTCTATGATGGGTTTATTCCTAGAAGAGGAATGCGAGTTGACAGCTGACGATTTCGATAGCGTTATAAGACTGGCCCGGCATTAGTGGTAGCTGATTGGTGGGAGCGAACATTTCAGAGGCAGAACCTATGATTTGAGTCATCCAATTACACGGAGTAGGGTTTTCGGGTATCCTTTTTCTTCTTCTTCACCTTATGGAGTTGATACACAAAAAAAGGTCCTGTCTGGATTGGATGGTTGGTCGTTTTTGACCGCTGTTAATTTTTTTCATTTTCTTTCATTAAACTTTCTTTCCTCCTTTGTAACTTAGCTCCCCTTGCCTACTCGGATACCCGCGTCACTGTATTGTACAAGTCTACTACTGTTTTATTTGCACAAATTCTGTACAACAGTTCCCATCTTTCCATTTCATCAATGCTCCAGGCACGAAACGTCTACTTTCTCCTCCCCATTTCCCATTTCCCACTCCCCTTCTATTCCAGACGGTAACGCTAATCAGTTTACCTGTCCCTCCCTCGTAAAAGCAGTGCCTCTAAGTTACAACAAAGCATGAGCGAAACAGGGGAGTCAATCCATATTAACGCAACAGATTTCCTGTCTCGTGGCGAGGAAAGGGGGCATTTTGCAACAAATCACACACGGCATAGACATCAGGCAGGTGGGACCACCGGGGTAAGATAGGGTGCGGAGATAGATAGTTGGGCTCACGGGGTTTTTTCTTCAACTTTCAGTATGATGTTCATTGCGGATGCGAGGATGTCTACAGCAGCCCAAAAATTTTTTGTAAAGGTAATTAATAGTTAGGGAGCGGGTTATGAGAGCTGTAACTGCAGGGAATGGTGCATTGCTGCCCCTCAAGTGCCGTTATGAGCAGCGATAATATTTATGCTTAATCAGCGTACTGTACAGAAGTGCGATAGGTTAGTCTTGTCGCACCAGTGCCAGGCACAGTCTCAGAATATGCTGGGATGGAAAACTTAAGACTAATATTGTCATAGAGTCTGGGTTTAGCACTCGACTACGGTAGGCAAAAGTGACATGCACGAATTACATAGCAGTACCGATAGTCTCGCCAGCCTTCCATGCAACATCACTCGCCCACGATACCCCCCAACTTGTTCTCCGGATAGAAGAAATGAAGGCCATTCTAGTGGTATAAAGCCACCACCAATGGCCTTACACACCCACCATCCCGGTTTCACCCATCAAACTCTCCCCCGGGGGGGACCACTCTTTATCCCGCTGCGCAACCCCACCCACCAACCTCCTCACCCCTTCCTGCTTTAGGCCCTACATAGACAGTCCCGTGCACCCCGTAACTGGTCTCCCGCACCGACTACGATTCTCCAAACACGGTATCACATAGTCTACTATACTCTAGCGAACCGGGTCAAAGAATGCTGTTTGCAATGGCCTTCGCCCTAACGTCGCCATGCGGAACTCTCTCCACGGAGGAGAAAATAAGTAGAGCGCTCCATGCCCCAACACTCTGGAGCAGGTTCTCTATCTCCCCTTCTTTTATGTGTTATAGACAAGGGGGTAGTTTTGTGTTACTCGAGACAAGGGTGCCAGTTCAAGTAGAAGTTGCACCTATAGTGGAGACTTGGGTCACCCCCGCGGCAGGGGTAGATGGGCACAACGTGATGGTCACGGCTAGAGGTGCATATACGATGTTAGAATTAGTGGATAATTATATCGTCCTTGCTCTGTGGGGAGTACTGTACCATACGGTAGCGGTGGACGAGAGAGAAATACGGAGGTCTATACCTCCGTATAGCGGGGGAGAAAAGAAAAGTACCGGCAAAATTTACAGTTATCAACCAGCTCTTGTCTCTTATCCCTTCTTTCTTTCCCCATTGGATCTCTAAGCCATTCTAAATGGATAATATTAAGACATAGCGCACGGCTCAATCAGTTGAGATTCCACAGTAGATAAATTTAAGGCCAGGCGTAGGTGAGGCATTCTTCCCATCTGGAGCAGGCCAAGCTTGGGGTGGACAGGTTCTTGTCGCGCGGTTCATTAAGGTTCCTCTAGGGTTCGCCCGATTTTACACTTTTCTGCACTGAAGCGTCATGAGTAGAGAGACAAGGGGGTGTATTAAAGTGGGAAAGTGCACCTTCGAGCCCCACTCATAATTTGTAATTTTTGATGATATCCAGAACTTCCTAGAATCCAGAAGTTGGAAGTACCCTACTAGGCTATAGGAAGTCCCGCCAAAGTCGATAAACCCTGGTTCGTTGCTTTGTTCGTCCCAAGGCGGATTTTTTTGGGGGGGAGGAGCCTTACTCATAATGACACAATAATAGGTTTTCTCCACCCGTGGTAATTGGCCTCCCTCATTCCAGCGCTTGATTTTTTTTTTTTTTGGATATTTATTAATTTAAGATACCGGTACCTTAACAAAGTCATGCATACAAGTAAATTAGCGCAGAAACCAAAATAGTTGAATCTTGCGCTAAGACGTCCATAATTCCCCTCTTTGGATTAAAAGGGGGCAAACAAAGCGGAACAAGATGACTTTCTACCGCCGAGACAAACAAAAAAAGAAAAATACAACAACTTTAGTGGGGGAGGCAACTCTAACGCCCTGGCGCAGGGTCTAGTTGCTCAGGTACGGGTATTACTCGAGCACATGTACGAGTACAGTACAGTACTCGTAAAGTTTGCACGATATGATACCGGTAGCACCCTCACGCCAGCTGCAATGACATGCACGACTTACTACCGGCAGCACGTTAATCCACCCTCGAATATTGTACTCCTACACAGCTACTTTTTGGGATCCCCATTCACCCGATGCTTGCAAAGAAGGGTGCCAGCGTGTCATAAAGGTCATGCTCATCTGCCGACCGCATTTATTATTGTCTATTTTTCGGGAGACAAACTCCAGGCGGCAAGATTTGAGCTTATGGAGGCGGCCCATTATTGGTGGGGACGGAAGGGGGAGTCCCAAACGGGGGGGGGACCTTGAATATCATATCACTGGACGCTTTCGGTAGCTGCACAACCAATCTTCGCTAGGACTGTCCTCTGTCAATCAATTCTTCGTATTCCTCCGGGCTAGAAATTATACAATTGGGCAATAACACTCGTATACAGGTATCCGACATGCAGTACTAGTACTTGTATTGTACTGTACGAGAACTGCACATACATACGCCTTGCGCTCTTGCCACTACCGACCTTTACGAGAAGATGCGCAGAACGTTCCACAGCTCGAATAGAATACTGCACATCTTCCACTGGCTGATAACGGTGCTTCCAGATTGCGATATCGGAATCGCAGCGAGATTTTCAGCTGATCTAGCGTTCATTAATCGAGCGATAGAGATGAGCAAAAAGTTAGATTAATCCAACACTTGAATTGCATACTTCTCCCCCCCAACTCTCTCCCCGTACTCGAGTAAACCAACAGTGGGTCATTCAAAAACCCCCCTGCTTCCAAGGATGGGACGGGGCAAGTCGGTCGGCCAGCCCATGTGCTACCATAGGGGACCATTCAGGGCTTTTTTTCTTCTTTCTCCCCCCCCCCGGTTCTACGGACATAGATCTTGAAGGGGCAAAAGATGCACTCGCGACGAAATTGGGAGGTATGATATGTACCTTATCTTTTCGAAAAAGTCGGATCGGAGCAAAGGGTAACCGAGCCAACCAGAGGGCAAGAAGACCTCAAATCATCACGCTTTGCGCGAACAGCGAAAGGCAACTGGGTCTAGGGACGAATCCCATTTTTACGAAAAGATACGGTATCATACCGGCAACATACCGGCAGTATATGGGACAATGAACAGAAGGGGACGGAGACCGGTGCACCAAAAATCTAGTGACAAAACACTAGATCCGGTAGGGTTGTTGTTGCTGTTCGTTGTCCCCCTTACTGTTGCCCCTATTCGTCACTCGCCCAGCGTCTTCGCGCGCACGGTCAAACTGTCAGAGAAAAGCTCAAATACCATGCACTTCTGGCATCTACCCGTATGATACCTGCTTCATTGAATACGGTACCGTACGTAAGAGTTGCTCTCACACAATCACCTCCGGAAAAAGAAAGTTCACAAACCTAATTCCGAGCATGGAGTGGTGGAGCCGGGGTGATATTGCGGCAGACCGCCACGCGACCCTAAGACACCCGTCCAGATTCTCAATTGTGGAGGTCCTCCCCACGTCAAGAGCGTGGCCCATCAACCCTAAATTACCGGAGTGTTACTCACTTCACCCCTAAAACCCCCCCCCCCAATGAATCTCCGGTTTTTGTTATGGGGGCGATCGGGTTAAAGCGCACTTCCTCATCTCGCCATCTCGGATAATTCACCATAATCGAGTACAAGTAAAAGCCGAGTGCCATTTTGTGTTCCGATTCATTTTTATTTTTCTCACTCTCGGCCTGGAATGGGGCATATCGCCGTCGTTTGGCCCGAATTGGGATCTGGAGCATGTACTGGGCAGGGAGGTCATGCCTTGTCACTCGTGGGATATTTCACTTGAGGTGGAGGATCGAGCCGTCTCAGCCATCTAACCCTCACTTTCCATTTTTTTATTGTTAAATCCGTGCTATAATAACACCGCCTTGCGCATTCAGCGCGTCATTCCCTCAATCCCACCACCTCCCTACCTTCAGCCTACCGTACTCGGTCGAGCCCGCGAGGCGAGGAAATCCATCTCGAGCGTTTCTCATAAACCTCTCCCGCCACTGATTAACAGCGGGGCCCTTGCACCTCCCGCGACTCCAATTACTAGTCCTCGGGAGCTCCACTGGCAATTACTACTTCCACTCCCACTACAGAACCTATCTTTTCTAGGGTACGATATTCTCTACGTAACCGGTGGAAAAAAGAAACCGGGAACTACAGGTGGGTGCGCAGGCGCTCTAGGGGCCCTGGATAGCATTCCGGTACTACCGGTACTTGCTCGGGTTTGCGTTGCGGACCTGAGCGTGCGTTCTTAGATCGTCTTAAAGCAGTTCAGTCGGATCATTACCATAGAGGTATATTATCTGACAACCCAACTTCCGGGAACGGTAGCGCAAATCTTATCCACACTTCGTCAATACTCTTCTAGCAAGATTTTTCAAAATACATGTTCAGCTTAAGCACTCTTTTATTTAAGAGTGCACTGGTGTTTAACCTCCACGGTGATCTAGAACTTCGCAGTGCGGCGGGGGGAGCAAAGTGGATGGATTATGTGAACATGATATAAACCACCGATTACGCAACGGTAGACGGTAGATAAGAGGATTTTGCTTGGAACTTGGGTATGGAAAGATATGGGAGATTATGGTAAACAACTTTGTTCTCTTCGTTCGTCCACACTTCGTCACTCGCTCACTCTTTTTTCTAATTAAACTAACGGTAAAGACAGGTGTGTAAATAAAACATAAACAACCCATCCTGATCCTTCCGTAGGTCACCACACCTATATCTATATCCCCTCCACGCATACCCCCCATTCCTCCGTACACCCCCGTTATACAAAGGAAAGACGTGCCTGGGGGATCTCCATAAATCTCTCAAGATCCGTAATGGTTTATCATACTATACTCCTGGACTATCCATCAGGCTCCCGGAGCATCCACAATCCACTCCAATCACCCAACGTCCATCCAGAATCTTCGACGAGAACCTCTAGAGCGCGACAATAAAATGCCCAATCAAAACCCCCTATAGCAAAAGGAACAGGCTTTCAATCGAACATCCCCCTCTTGTGCAAAATTTTTATTCCTCCGAGGGAAGAAGCTGAGGCGGTTGCAATGGTGGTTTCTACTCAAAGCGCCGCCACCACTTCCACGCGCATCGAAGAGTTGTAATAGGCCGTCCCAGAGCAATCCTCGTCGCCGAATGCTCTCAGAAAATCACCGCTACGAGCCGCCTACTGGCGCAGGATAGGAGTAATGACGTACACGCCAATGACGGGTGATTGAATGATCCCCATAGCAAACTATTGGGAGAGTCAAGACCGGATATCATATCGACCGGTCGGTACATGCTTGAGCGTGCGTATTTAACTCCATCTATCTTAGTTGGCAGCTCTCGCTCCTGGACGATGCTTCCCTCTCCGTACTCTTTACCCGCGGGGTGGTTTTCTCTTTTTTTTTTTTTTGGATGGGGAGCTATCAATGCTGGGTGTTTAACATGGCGTTTGTTTTTTTATTCGTGTTTTGGAAATGTGACGCTCTTTTTTATTACCACCCGGGAGATGGGGAGGCTCTAGTCCACTGATTGAAGTCCCATACTTGGAGGTGGGGAATCGCCTCCTTTATGTAAGTTCACTGCTTTAATACTCAGTATGCTGTAGTTGCCACTTGTGGATATAATTGCCCAAGGTGCGAGGTTGTCGAAGGGTAAGTTGTTGATTGAGATAGCGCACTAGAAAGAGGGACTGTTGTGTTAGACACGTATCTCTTTGACCCCAGGATAGCTAAATTTTCGAGAAGAATTCTGCATTTAGAGCAAATTCATATATACATATATGATACTGCTCATCACCCCATATTTTGCACACTTGACAATCCGCAAAGGTGTCAGTGCCTACCATACGGCCTACTGGTAGGATATGGGTATCGCAGCCCCAGCTTCATTTGGTATGAAATGTTCAGTCACTTTAATATTAACACTGATGATGCACCCCACCATGCCCGCATCGTCTCGATAGCCTATTTCCGTCCTTGCCTCAACTCGCCAGGCTTGTTCAACAACTGCAATTTCCTCGTCAATTGCAGCGGCATATTAGGCCTGGACATCCTTTCTGGATGCTCCAACTCAAAGAACATATATAGCCTTTTCCATCCACTCGACCTAGTAAATTCAACTCCACAAAGTCCCAGATTAAATACCGAATATCCCCTCCTTGGATCAGTCAGAAATTCTTCCAAATCCTCCCAGTCGATCTTCACATCCTTAAGCCTTAATTCCCTCAAATGACCAAATCTTGTACGTTGAAGCATCCCCCCGATGTTTGGGCCAAGATCATAAGTTAGTGGATTTCCCGTGCCACCAGTGATGCTCAACCTAGCGAGCGTGAGACTGAACCCTGAAATGAAGCCTTGAATCCCTCTCATCATGATAAGTTGTCTTTCCGAGCTCCCGGCAATGGTAGCTGGTGGTAGCGTTAAACTTAGATTCCGCACATTCGACCAGGCACCTTCTCTACCCAGCAGTGGATTCCCCCCATCGCCGTAGCCGGGGAAAGAGCGTAGGTGCCAGAGTGCGAGTGGTGTTGGGAGTTGCAAGTCAAGCGTTGTCAGTACTAGGAATCCGCTCATTATGTGTCGCGATTCCTCGAATTGACAGCGGAGGTAGACTAGTGCTTCGTCAAGCAGTGTTCTCCCCCATAGATGCTCTACGCTTGGATTACACCTTATAGAGAGTGCCTGAAGCCTGGGGAGTCGGTCGAAAACCTTCTTGAAAAATCCCTCCTCATTGGACTCCAGGTTTAAATCCTCAAATATCCCAGGCATGACGGGTATGTCCGGGCCCACAAGCCTATAGGTCCCGTGTTGACCGAAATGTCCTTGTGCGGGGATGGGATTCAGACTGCTCTTTCTTGTCGGATCTTCTGAGTGGAGGGGTCCGAATTCTATCGGGCCGACATTATGGAATGTAATAACGAGGAGGCGAGCGTAGTGGCCTATTCGCCCGAGGGCACTAATAAACACCTGATGGTTGAGAGGTGTCCGTGCTCGTAGGTCCAGGTGGAAACGGATCTCGTTGAACATCCGAGGTCCTTCTGCTGCAACGAGGCTGTTTATTCGGCGATTGGTCCTCCTGAGGGACCGGAGGGATCTCGAACTCAGAAAGGAGAAAATTGTCCGACGGATTCGGCGGGGGGGTGTAGTGCTTCTGCCATCTATGTGTGAGGTTTGTGAGGCCATTATGTCTTCAAAGGTGGTAGAAGATCCCCCCATGGTTAAGAAATGGATTCTGTATTTGGCGTTTTCTCCCCGTCTTGTTTTCCCCTTATATCATATCTATAATTGAATTTTTATACCGATAGGTGTTTGTGGGGAGGGGAGAGGGCAGGGGCAGCGGAGAGGTGGCGGAGGCAGTTACGCATAACTCGCAGAAACTAGCTGGTGAAAATTGGGTTTAGGTAATTTATGTAACTTAAAATACTTTACTGAAATTTACAGAATATAATTTACAATTTACATATGGTACTAGTATGTAATTTAAGATGATAGATTTTGGAGGTAGCCCAAACCCTAATATGTAAATCCAAAAGCTCTTATTTGTAACTTCTGGATTCTCTTGTTTTGAGCCAAGAATTAAATTTACCATTCAAAGAAGCTGTAATTCAGAAGAGAGTAAAGATGAAAGTGGTAAGGTTCATTATACTCTTAAGGTTCTTTTAGTAGTACTGACTGCAAGTTAATAGTAAGTATATATTTTAACCTTACAAAATAATATGATAAATAAAAGCATTTTAATAAATATATTACTAGTATGTATTAAATACCCTTATAAGAGACCTGCTACTACCTGGAATTTTAGATACTAGTATTATATTCCTAAAACAGAAACATAATTTTTTTGTATAATGTACATACTCCAGTCAAATATCTGTTAGTCCTAGTCCAATTTAATAGCATCATAGTTTTAGGACATGTCCAAAAGTAATATAATAATTATAATAATATTATTATTATTTTTGCCAAGTTGAGAATACCTTACTTAAGTTATTATATTTTATAGTAATTGTAAATGGGATAGGTGCTTAGTTAACTTAGTTTTATATTTGGTTTCGAGTATTATTCAATACTTGGTTTTATTTAAGTTTGACTCTATAGAGAACCTAAAGATCTGTAATTACATATTATATAACCAGGAGGAAATAGTATTTATAGAGCTAAATGTTCAGCTACCAGAATAATAATGTTGACAGACAGTATACCAGGGGATTGAAATAATGTGTAAAACCGTCCTTCATATCTTGAAAATGTATTTAAGGTAAAACAGCATTATAAACCAAAAATACCTGAACTTTAAAGTTATGTAAATTCTATAGATTTGTGACTTTTTAACCAAATGTAAACAAATATGTGATTAATTTCTATATACAAGTACTTTTTATAAAACATATTTTACTTTTCCAAGCCAGAAGCCCCAGGCCAGTATCCTCATGTCATCCCAATACTGTGACTGTGTATGCATCCAAGCAAGCCCTCCTTTACTGCCTGCTGAGATATTATATACTGGAGTAAAAAAAAAAATAGGGCTAAAGATGAAACCCCTTGCATAACAATTCTGATTGGAGTGTTACAGTAATATACAAATCTGTAATATACAGTTTCCTGATAGTAGATAAAATAAGCTTTATCCAATGACCTATTTGTATTGTTAAAACTTTAACTCAATATTTTCCACAAGTAAGAAAAAATAGTCAATTATTGAAATTACCTTCAATATTACTTTTATCTTATATCCTATAACAGGTAATAACCTAATAGTATCATGCTCTATTACCATACTCTATCTTGTAAAGACTTCCAACTTGGATAGTAATCTTCTCCTTAGCTGTCCTGTATTCCATAAGACTAACTCTTTAGTCTTACTATCTCTAATACCAACTATACAGAGTAGTCTTTCCTGACTACTTTTTCATGTAAAAGTACTAAAGGAAACACTGCCTTCTTCGAAGGTCATTTAGTGTCCTTGGAAGTGGTAGGAACCTTGACATAGTTACTAGGAGCAGTAACTCCAACGCCCCATAGAGGCCCTCAATTATTGAAGTTTTCACAGTACTCGTAGGTTACCGGTGAACGCCAGCTCAAACCAGGCCCAAATATCCCGTCAAACAACTCTAAGAATTCGGTATAACAATAATAATGATTCATCACCTGCTTAGTAGAGTCCTTGTATCCCTGATAAATCCCAGGCTCAAGCCTAGTCTACTAGTATCATAATAATATGTGAATAAAATTTTTTTGAAAAAGAAAAAGAAAAAGAAAAAGAAAAACGTCGTCCTTTGCTTCAGGGCTATTATTTGTACTCAGTTTCAAATACAATACTCTCTCTCCACAAGGTAATTCCAATCCTGTTTGCCATGAAATAAACAAGGCCCGAGGGAGGTGAAACCTGAATTTTTGTTTACTCACAACGTATTTGACCAGTTTCAGCAACAATATCCAATGTGTTAATTCTACTAAATCATGCCTCATTTGCTATCCATATCAGGCTCTATTGCTACTCGCTAACCTGCCTCACCCCCCACCCTCTCATCCTCTATCTGTTTTAATCTTAGAAATACCCTATAGAATATCTGCATCCATTTCCTCTGGTTTTGAGTCAACTCCTTTCCGGGGGCACGGAAGGACCGAGTCGTGATCTCCTTAAGCCTACTCCGCAGGATTTTGAATGCAATTAAGCTTTTCCAGTCCTCGAAGGCAAATCTTACCCGGTGTCCATCAAGTGTCATCGAGCCCGCATGCATCTGACGCTAGCGTCAGTCACTCGCCTTTCCATTATTACACACTTGTTACGTACCTTATAGTCAACATCTCCACAGAGTAGTGCAATTGCAGTGCCGTCCACATGACTGGTCTCATGTGCATCGTAGGACCTATGGTATTGTTAAACCCCCATGCGCTTACGAAATTCAAAGGAGCTTCACCTATTGGATTGCATAATGCTATGGAACGCCAGCCACTCGCTCTTTGCATACCGGTTCACCGAGCTTGGATGGATGGCAATACGATGGTTGTTGAGAATATTTCGCCACCCATTACCTCCCTTAGCCAATAGTTTAGGGTAGAAGCTTGCAGCAATAACTGAATTCACTATGGAATCATTTTCGCTACTGTAGTTGACTGATTCTGGGACAATGAAGAAGTTGCGCCGATAGTAAGTTGAAAACCGGCATCTGGACGACAAGTGAGCGTCAATCTCTTACCCCGGATTAACTAGGGGGCCTACCGGTTTAGCTCTGCCTTCTCTTCCTCTTTCAGGGTTAGGAATCTAGCTTCTACCACAGAAACAAGAAGCTGCTGTTTCAATTCCTCAATCCCAAGTAAATTTCGACTACTGAGATAGTTTCTCTGGCAAAATTCACTCTCAGACATCATTGTTTTTCTTTGGCAAACTCGCCTCCACGAAGAGTACGCGTTCCAGCCAGTGAGAAGATCTGAGTCAGCTCTCTTGAAAGACAATCTGCAGGATTCGGCTTCCTTTTTGTGCCCTATTGGGGTAACGAAGGGAGACTTCGAGGATAGGATAGCTGCAATGGTGAGGGCCGCATCCAAGCATCCATAAATAGAGCCCATTAGTACCAATTTCCCGAGGTAAACGTCCAGAGGCAGCTTTGCAAGTTGCCGCCCTAAGGCAGTAAGCTCTTCTGCCACTGTTAACGCTTTCACCTAAAGAATGTCAGATACTTCATACTGCCTGGAATCATAGTACCGACTTCAAGTAGAGAATCTATAGCCCGTCTAATATTTTTGGGTAAAGGAGCATCAAGGGCTTGCGACAAGACCTCTTCGACTTGGCCAAGTCTACAAATTTTAATCCTCAGCACGAGATCCTGAAGAGACAGTCTCATAATTTCAGGAGTTTGCTGCTCAACCATCTGTCGGGAAAAAAGGTCAATAGCGTCACTAGATCCGTATAAGAAGGGAATCAGAAGCGCATACCCAATTGTTGTGTTGGCTTTTGGTAAACAGGTGAAAACATAGCCCTTTTTGAACTCTTCCAGCTCTACCCCTTCTTTGTTTCGCATTAGCCCGGCTTACGAAGGTCTCAACTAGCCTGCTAAGCTGCCTTTTTTCGTCGAATCGCATTTCCTTATGCTTCCCTGTATCAATAACACAAGTGACATCCGGAATTGTTATTCCTGTTTCCGCAATATTAGTTGCAATAACGATCTTCCTCATTCCTGAGGGAGGTATTGAAAAAGCCGCCTCTTGATCCTCGCTTGCAATTGTGGAATGAAGTGGATATATCAGCCACCCTCCATCACCCCGATTGTTACCGAAAGTCGGATGTGCTATTAACATGTCGTTTAGTCTTCGAATTTCGGCAAAACCAGGCATGAATATAAGTATTGCTTTAGAGTAGTCCACATATTCAGGTGAGCTTCCAACAAAGTCAATAAGCCGAACAATCAACTCATAGTTGATGTGATGAAGATTTAGACGACTTAGGGTATCCCTTATTTCAGGTGGGTAATTTTGCAGATCCCCGACAAGCGCAGTAATACCCTTAACCTCAACTTCTTCGTCATTGTCCTCCCACACACCCTGATTACGTGATCCTCGAGCATCATCTTCAACAGTAAACTGGGTAAGTCTGATAGCATCCTCAAGGTAGTAAGTCTCCACGGGGAAAGTCCTGCCCGGAGCCACCATAACTGGCGCATCGCCGAGATACGCTGAGAGCCTATCTGCATCGACAGTGGCAGACATGAGAACAACCCTAAAGCCATTAGAATCATCGAATTATTTTTAATTATTTTTTCCGAAAAGTGAGTAATTACCTCAGGTCCTTTCTTTGAACCAACAGCTTCTTCAGAACAAGTAATAGAAAGTCACTGTCTATACTTCTCTCATGAACCTCGTCCAACACTAAATGAGTCACCTCCTCTAATTCCGGCGACCTTTCAAGCATACGCATAACAATACCCTATCGGGGTCAGCGCCACCCATCCGAAACTTACAGAAGGAATGAGAAAAAACATGCCGTAGTCGCATAGATCAACCTTGTACCAGAATGCATTCTACCCTCAAGCCTAATAGCGTACCCAACGAGCGAACTTTTGCTACCAACTTCGGATTTCCTTTCACCCAGTTCTTCCGATACACGTCTCGCGAGCGATATTGCAGAAATTCTACGTGGCTGCTATTTTTTAGTGCGGTAAATACAGCGGGGTGGAAGTGCCATTACCTCTGTACAGTATATGCGGCAGGATTTTCCCTGGGAGAGTTCATGCTCTAAAATGAAAGCAGGAGTTTGGGTACTCTTTCCACTATGATTGATAGTTAGAATACTTTGCGCTCCAAGAGGCATGAACCTTCTAAATACCATCCAGTTTCACCACATATGATAATTACCTGATTTTTTTCCATAGCAGCCAAAACATCTTCTTTGAATGCCCACATTGGCAGCTTCCTTCTATGTTCCAACATATGTTGATATCCAGAACGACTTGTTCTATAGAACCAATCTTCTTTTATTGCATCCGAAGTCGTATTTCCGGACTCCACTCTTCCGCCCGTGACTCCTTGCTCCTTAGGGCCAACAGCTTTAATAGCCCGAGGCTTCTTCTCTGCAAGATAATCAGGGCCGGAAAGGCCGAAATTTCCTATCTTTAAAGCCCCCTCCAGATTCCTGAGAACCTCCCGCTCCTGCCTCTCGGATTCTAGTTGACCCTCATTTAGTAGTTCAAACCACAGCTCACGCCAAATGCTTGGGAGCCGAAGATACATCTTTTCATCCTTTTTACCACATAACTTGAAAAGCGCATAAGTAGCAATGAAGCCGTCCGCTTGGTCCTTACTCATCGCGGCAATTGATGCCATGGAAAACGTAGTACAAAGCAAGCCCAGGGTTGATATAATAACAGGTGGGCGAGCGCCGGGGCCAAGGGTTGGAGTTATAGGGGAAACATCGACAGATGATGATTCGGCAATGGAAGACCAAGTAATGATTAGTTTGCTCCGGGCCGAAATCGATGTTCCCGGAATCATTTCGAAGCGAATTTTGGAATTCACATCCCTGGAAATATCAGCAAACCCGGATCCACAATTGCCAGAACCATGCTTACCGGCTCCGGCAAAGCTCCTCCAAAACCTTCTTGACCGCAGGCGTACCAACCCCTGCTTTTCCTCTTGGTTTCCCTTTTCCAAAATTTCCCCCAGAAGCGTTGACCAGCTCGAAATCTCTGATATCCACATTTTCATTCTCACCCTCTTGTATAGCGGTTAATTCTTCTGTCGGTGTTGGTTTGAAAAGGCCATCTACAAAGTACTGATCTATATTTGAATCCTCTTCTGTATGTGGCAAATCGATAGGGGAAGTAGACTCTGTCTCTTCCTTAACCCCGTTGCCTTCGGAGTTGACCGTATAGCCAGCCGATGCTTTAGTCCCTTGCTTAAAGGTCGAACCCCCTCTACTCTGTTTCCTGGCCCATTCCTCCTTTTCTAGCCTCAGCCTCTCTACACGCCAAACATCCTCCGCTTCCCGGAGGTCAAAGAGCGGGTCGCGGGTAAGTTCATCAAGCTTATTCTGAATTTTCCCGAGTTGCTCCGCTTTGGCGGGAGAAACACCAGCTATCGAGGAAGCTTTTATCTCATTTTTCCCCTTAACTTTCTTGCCTGTTATAATTGTAGAAGCAGGGTGGAGGTGATATTTTTGTGTCTGCAGCTTGATGTATTGTGGAACCAATTCCTCCGGCGCAACCTCGACATCTTCATCCTCGCTGTCACCACTTTCATTATTCCCAACCTTCTTATCCTCACCTGAAACATCTCTGCTCTCAAGACTCCGATCGGCAACTCGAAGCAATTTTCCAGTCAAATGGCGTTTGTCGGCCCCGAAGGGCTGTCGGGGAGTAGGTGTTCCAGAATCGGGTTTTATTTCACTGGGTGTCACATCTGATCACCCCATTAGTGTTTGAGATATAGTCTTGCTGAGGTGTGAATGAGCACCTGATGAGCCCGAGGCCACGTCTTTCTTCCCTCTACTAAACTCATCATAAAACCCCGGAAGCTCTTCTTCCTCGCAATTGAGCGCTAGCCAATCAAACATTTCCTCCAATGCTCCATCTAAGCCTTTTTCTTTATCGAGAGCAGTGGAACCATGATCAGCCAGCGCCTGCAACCCCTCCTCGACCCTTCCCTTTGGAAAGCCCATGGAGATAAAAGCCCTTTGCAGAATCCAAGCATTCAGGAGTAAAGCTTCTCCTCGTTTGCATTCGGTCTCATTCGTCCGGCCCATTTGAATGAACTCTTCCTTAGCAAGCGCCAGAATCTGGTCCCCTACCCCAAGTTCTTTCACTCCACCAGTAGTCCTTGGCTGACTATTATAACGCACGAAGTCAAACTCTAGAAGTTTGTTCACCTTCAAAGGGTAGCAGATACTTCTAATTGTGCGTTTCTCGACTTCCACCCGGGCCACAATTCTCTGTGTTTCCTTCCTGGCCCTTTGACCTAGCTTGTCCACAAGTGCCTTCAATCGGTGCTCCTCCACCTCTTCTTCGTTCGGGATACCTAGAATCTCACCGGCCTTTCCCGAGTCCTTCTCTGAAGGCCCCGATGCCACAACAGTGTCGGTCTCTTTTTCACTTGGACCTTCGGGGACTGGGGCAGGTGTTTTCGTTTTGGATGGCACTGATGTAGTAACAAACCCGCGTGCAGGAATAGATGCAACTTTATTTTTCTTTTTTCCACCCATTTCGAAATTCGAACTCTTTTTCTCGAATATCGTATGATAGAAGTGAAAATATCAGTATGATGGATGGGTGTTGGTGGACAATTATCGATGGCAGGCCTTACACAATTAAAAACAGCGGATTGGAGGGTTGAATTGAGGCTGAAGATAAGATGCTGCTCCTGCACTGGGTTTAGGTAAGTGAGGCGAAACCTTTTCTTATTGGCTTCTATCATACTTGTAAGTGCACCAGTCAATCAGAGAATCTAATCGAGTAATATTATCGCGAAGCTGATGTGGCCGGGGCATAGTAGTACCGAGTACTACTGTATCATACTTGAGCAGTGGAGGGTTCGCCTCACTTTTTTCCGCTCCCGAGAGTAGCGCCAAGATGGCCCTTCTGACCATCATACAAGGTACGGATACTCGGAACTTTGGCTATCATATTAAAATTGGGAATTTTCCTCACCTACCTTGTGCTCACCTAAGCACTGTAGAAATGATATTGTAGCCTAGGAGATTTCGTAAGAACACCGTGCGAAACCGATCACACATTTTTCTTCCCTTTTCCTTTGTCCACCTCAAACCGATTTGCAAACCCCAGTGTTGACCGAGTGGAAGATCTCAAGAGTTGATCGGCCTCCTCCCGTCCCCCTACCCCCCATCAACCAAATACGACAACCCAACCCCCGATTCAACACCGATGTTCCAGCTCCTGAAGTTCTCACGGGTAAAACACCCTATGAATTCCAGTCACTCAACAGAACACATTGAAAGTTCACCGAGTACCTGATCCAGGCCCACCTGGAACATATTGCCCTGTCTTACGGCATCCCACGAAAGTTTATATCATACATAGTTTCAAGCGAACCGGATCTTCTTGGTCACTTCTAGCGTGCCAGCTCGGATAGTGGTGGACAGCGGTAGACAGCGTGAGATGATAAGACCATGTCTCACTACTGTTTTGGCAAGCCCGAATAACTTTCTTGAATAGAATTTCCCTTTATACCTACCTCGTTTCAGAGGAGAGGGTGGGCTATAGGATCATGCAAGAATATTCAAACTTCATCCCAACTACGGGTGAGATTCTTTACCCACCAGACGCCAGATTTCATACGACCTATGCGAGCAATGGTTTATATTGCTTTCCCTATCATCCTCATCCTCCTGACAACTGACAATCCTCGACAAGCTAAAAACTAGACAGTCTACATCAAACACGAGATAATGCAGCCACAAAATCCCCAAACCCCTATCAAAACACCGATTCCTATAAACCCCTCGGCACCAAGACGCATGCGGATACGCAACTCCGAGTTCCCCGAGTCTCCCACCCCAGATACTTCTCATCCCGGTATCCCTCCCAGGCAAAGAAGCAATGGAACCGGTACCCAGAGTCTTCGCTCCCCCTCTCCTTTGGTCTGGGATCAGTCAACCTGCAAGACAACCCTCACCCCACCATCGACTTCTAACTCTACTTCGATGCCGATCACTCCCAAGTACTACCCTGGCTCCCCCCCCCAACTTCTTCCCCCTAGCGGTATACCTACGATTTCCGAGGTTAGGCATCCACCTCAGTGCACTCCTAACTTCGAAGAGGCATGCAAAACTATCCAAGCTCTCGATCGCTTGCTTGAGGAGGTGCGCCTTTTGAAGGCAGATACCTTTTTCGGCAACCTCTATTGGAGTGAATTGAATATCTTTTATAGGGATTTCAAGAGATTTTTGAACCGCGAAAGTGATCGCTTCTTCACCTTCGTGGGCGGAGCTTCAGTGGCTACTGATGCAGATTATGAGGGGCTCGATACTGTTGCTCAAAGTATCTTTGATGAATGGAATGTTATGAAGGAAGCTATTCTGAGAAATGACCCAGGAGAGGGCCTCGATGACGCAATAGTTATTGACTAGGGGCTGTTGTATCCAAGGTATCATATCCCGGGTCTTCTGGGTTCTCTTTTTCCTAGTCATCTCTCATCGCCCATCTATGTCCCTCCAAACTATACTACAGCTATCTCAGGCATAGCAATGAGTATGCTTGCCAGGTGCATAAATTACACCAAGCCTTAGCCCTCAGATCCATTTCGTATTTCACTTTAATAGCTCCATACTTCAAAATATCTTAAGTACCTTATAACATAAGACATTATAAAAATAGGACTAATCACATATTCTTCACCACCAACTAATAACCATTGAATGCATCACAATGCTGTGCTCACACATTCCCCCCCCCTGTTCTGCCTGTCCAACAAACCCGTAATGCCCACTTCAGCCTCCTCTCTGCGCCATCAATATAGCCCTCCACTCAGCCTTTGCAATCCCGGTCCACTTGACTTCTCTTTCTCTCCTCCACTCCTCTGCTTCACACAATGCTCCGTAATCGCCATTCCCAAGATCTTCTTCCCCGAGCCTCTTAGCCAAAGTTCTCACCACAAAATTACCCCTCTTAGTACCAAGTGGCAAAAGAGCCCGAATCCTGCGCCACATCTCCTCATCAAACAAATCCTTCCCCCAGATACCCACCAGCATGTCGTGTTCCAGCCTCTTATCAAATTTCTCCAATGCTTCCTCAAGTACACTTTCCCGTGAGTGAACATTCAACTCAATATCCTGCCCCTCCTCCCCCGTCAACTTTGGCAAATATTCATCGAACCAGCGTCGGCAGAGAGGCCGAAGATCTCTGAGCTTCCTACCCTCAACGGTGATTTCCTCCCTCCTCTGAGAAATCCCAAGGTCCAAAAACCGACATCGAGCGCAGAAATCGAACATCTCCTGGACAGTGCTAAACCCCCTCTCGTACCACCCCCAATCACACCCAAAAAATTCGATAGCAGCCCGGGGATCATCCGTCAAGTGCACCATGGCCGCTTTCTTGTTCTTCTTCTCAATGTGCTTGACGGAAACGCGGACGCCGGAGTGATTGACGCTAATCCCCACACGCTTCCCCATGGCCCCTAGTATGCTCCAGAGATCACCGTAGGCGCGATGGAAAGTCTCCCATTCAATCTTTTCGGGAGGGCACATGCGTATGTCTAGCTGCACGTACGCCTCCATCTCGGGCTCGTAGATGGCAAAATTCGCCGTTGGGAAGCCAGGAATGGATTGTTCTGCGCCGAGGAGTGCGAGGAGTTCCTCGCTGGTGTAAGGACGAACAGGAGACGCGACTAGAATGTCTATGTCCCCGTGGATAATCTTTTCAGGCGCATGGGGGGACACTCTGACGATTTCGTGGAGTGATTGCAAAAGAGTGGTGAATTTGGACACCAGGCGGAGGTAAACGTCGTGCGGGATAGGCGGGGTGTCAAGGTTGAATGCGCGGCCGCCCATTTTGACAATATGTTTTTCCCCTCGTCTCTTTCACAAAGTAATGGAATATTTGGTCACGTTAAGGGAACTTATTTTTTTTTTCACTCACTCACTAAAATTCAGCAGCACTTATATAAGGGCTGTGAGTCAGGCCTACCTTCAGGCGTGCAGATTAGCTCAGCCACCACGGGGGTATGTCTATGACAAATCCTCACGGCGGCATACATATGTGCTTGCCTGTAATTAATTGTCTCAACCGACATATATACACTTGCTTACGGCGAATAGAATGGGGGAGTAAATACACTTGCTCGCAATCATAGCTTGAGCTAACGTGGGCATATTCACCATATATCACTCGGGACATGAAGAGAATTTGATCTTTCGTCAAGTTCAAGTTATGCAGCTGCCAACACCCAAATTAGGCCACCCTTGAAAAGCAGAGAACGAAAGTGCAGCGATCTAAGTGATAGCGCGTGGCCCCCTCGCATCTTGTATGATATACTACGGTACCTATCGTAATAGTGTGCTTGCCACAACACTATATAATAATTATTCTTGTTAAACAAATGGCTACATACTTGGAATCAATATTCTCCCCTCTACCCCTGTTTTCAAGAACGTAATACTATCGAGTTCCCTTATCCTACAATACAGGTGATGAGCTCAAAACGACACAGTCCTCGACTATTATGATACTACCACCACACTCTCTTCCTAGATATGAGGCGATACGCCTCACCGCCAATAATCCCTCGCGAGAAATATATCAGGCCAAACTGCTCCCTCCCGATAAAATCCAAATAGTCCTCTCTGGAATTTGGAACCATCTTCCAGCATCCATGTAGAGGCCCGTAGGCTTCGGCTCCAGAAAAATCTAACGAATACCACGCTTTGTGCTCAACGTCCTCCCACTTCCAGGGACTTGCCAGCCAACCGATTCCCTTCTCAGCCCTTCTCAAAACAACACTTTAAAAGTCAGCAAACAACTTTCCCCTCACATCAAAACAATTTAAGGCCTCCCCTCCCACACATGCCATTCCCGTCCTCCTGCCATTTTCATAATCCCCCAACCAAGCACCATGACCCCACCTCGCGAACCCACGGATTCCCCAGGCTTCCTATTATACACATCTTACGTCTCCACCATCGAACCAACCCCCGTGCCCGACACACCTCCAACAAAAGACGACCTGTTGCTGGTAGCACTAACATGGCCCGACGGCGTGCGCAAGTTCGATCCTCCAACTGTGGGTTGCGATCGAGTGATAGACCCCAATATCGATGTAGACTACTACAGACCTATCAGCCATAGCGATAAGAGGGCCTTGGATTGGCTAGGAAAGACAGGAGAATGGCCAGGTGGTTTTAAGGATCCACTATTCAGGGGAAAGGTCGGTAAGGGGAGATGTGCAATTTTTGAGCTCCCGGATGGGTACACTCTTTATGAAAGAGTGCGTATTCCAGCTAAGGTACCCCCCTCCCCTCTCTCCTCACACCCTTTGCGTTTAGGCGAGGTGAGTGCCTGGGTGTTTAAAAAATTTCTGAGGGAGGATGGGGGGGAGGTCACCCTTAGACGTATCTATTCGGACACTCGTTCGGAGGAACGTTTCGGAATCCTAAAGAGTTTCAACTGCACTACCTCTGGATGGCGTGCGACCCCACGAAGGATCGGAGGAATTGCAAATGCAAGCTTTGCAGAAATGCTACGGCGGAGGAGAAGCATGTTGACCCGAGCCATGGGCCCACCGCTCCTGGTCATTCTGAGAATACCATGGGTCCCACACGTCCTGAACGGGAGAAGGGCCAGGAGGTGACTATAGTTATCCAGTAGAAGGGGGATTGCCAGTGCGAAAAAGTAAGCGATACTCGGCACCGTGAATAGAAATATACTTATCACCTGAGTAGTGTACAGTACAGTACAGTACTAGAATTATACAGGAGATGTTCCTATTCAGAGTGATTCTCTGTGATGCCGGTATGCAGTTGTGGCGGTCAGGTTTTAGTAATGGATATATGTATATGTCATCCCGTAGTTATATGACAGCTCTCCACAGATGGAGCCCTACCCAGCAGATAGCTTACCGGCATTAGAAATCATCCCGCCATCAGGAATTCGATTACAAATCCAACTGTCGAACCCACCAAGACTTTACTCCCGCACCGGGAGAGCCTCCCACACGGGCTGATGTCAGGATCAACCAAGCACAGCGAACCCCCCCCCCCCCATCCACCCCGGCCCAAGAATCTCAACCCACAGTTACAGTATACAGTACATACCAGCATGTCTACACATCCTCCCCGAAACTTTCCCCTCTTCCGAAGATCAAGCCCACACGTACGGTAGCCGTTCCCACCGCTATCCTAACATTTCAAACCATGTCCCCCGAGAATATATATATGGTGGTGTGTATTTCGAACACATATGATTGCCAACATACTAGTTACTGTTAGTTCTGCAGGCATGGGCCTTCTGTCACAATGCTATTAACTTCCGTGGATTATTCCATAATAAAGTCTGATGGAGATACCGGTGTGGAGCGGAGACTAAGTTGGTAGGGTATTGTCTGAGAGCTATGAGGTTTTTACCCCATGGAATTTCCAGTATTTAAGTTGGGAGCCTTCCTTCTATCATAGTTAGACAAGCTCAACCACCCCTCAACAACAACCATTTAGATAGCAGTGTGTGTGCCTATCTAGATTGGGTTTAGCTTCAACCTCTTTGCTTCATCTGTGTTTGTCTATTTTCTACAATTGGATCCAAGTCAATTTCCCTTCCTCCATCCATCAGTTTATCAGTCAGGCTACAGAGCAATTATCACCACAAGGTACTGTACTCGAGCACAGTTCGGTCAAAACACCATCCAACTAAGGGAAGGCGCATCAAAATTCCCACACAGGTACTATGACACTACAAGTACCATGTACCAACCAATTGAAATATCCGCTATCTTGCATTAAAAAAAAAAAATCCCCAGTTTTTAAGCTTCCCATCAGTGAGAGTGTCTCCGAGTGTAGCTAGTCCCGGTGGCCGCCCCTCCTCTACCGGGATCATTGTACAGTACTGTACTGTACTGTATCATGCTGCACACCGAACGCGAGTACCCGCCGCCTTGCGAGTAAAACAGACAGACGGCGATCTCCCAGAGGGATAATATGTATGCTCCCTCCCTTTCGCCATGGGTTATACGGCATTCATGAGTTAGAGCCTCCTCTCCATAGTCTACAATATAATAAGAACGATTCTGATGAAATAATATGCATCTATGCATACCCGCGCTGGATACTGTACATGTGTACAGTACATGTGAGAATCCGAAATGTTTGGTTTGACAAGTTTTAAATTAACTGTAGTGGGGTGATTACCCCCCCCCCCCTCAAATCATATATAATACAAAACAAACAATTACTAGAGGAAATCCTCTTTTCTCAATAGTGTGCGCTGTTGGTGCTGCTTCGAAGGAAGGATCACTTCTTTCTTTCTTTCTTTCTTCCTTTTCTACGGAACCGTCGGAAGTCGGAATACTTTGTGTTCCGAGAAATTTTTTTTTTTTTTTTTTTTGCGAGTGGTGGTAATTGACTACTTACTCTATGATACCTTCGCATCCATATACACATACAGTACATAACGCTTTGAAGTGCGGTCAGGTGGGGGGGGGGGAATGATAAATTACCGTGACGTAGGGTATTCAACCGAATTAGAGCTCATCCCTGCCATGATATATGATACCAACATCCCCAATCCTTAATAAACTTTTATCACTTTTCTACTATGACAGGACAAGTCAGACCACAATCCCTCCCGCAAATATTAACTCGCACGCCCAACCAACTATGATAATTGATTCCTCGAGCTCACAGGAGGAGCCCCCCAAACCCATACAAACTCTACCCTACCCTACCCTACCCTACCAATAACACCTCATAACGCACCGGTATATCATACTTGCACCAGTACGAGTATAGTATGATATAGTATCATACCATGCGATATCATACCGGCATTCCTTCCCCCACCAAAACGAGAATGGCGCCATCCGCCTCCCGCCTGCCAAGAGATCCGATTTAGTCTCAATGCAGGGTACCAAATTGCCCGCTCGCTCGCCGCATGGGCAACCCGAGCAACTAAAGTCCGACAACGGCGATCAAAATAAAACGGCACGGGTTGGGGAGGTTCGGGATACCGGCGGGTTTACATGAAACAATAAATCATACTCGAGTATACGTTGTAGCTCACCGAAGGAGCCGTCTCTCTCTCTCTCTTTTTTTTTCTTGTTCCCGCTCCCCCCCCCCCAAAGTGAGCTTTTCGAATATTGTACTGGAAAACTGGGAATAGGCTTGATGCCAAGGCGATTGGCTAATATATAGGGAATGACACTTGTAGAAAAGGGGCTCGAGAACGGGGAAAGATTAGTTGCCAATTGGGTACACGGTTCATTAATAATAGTGAAGTAAAATAAAGCGATCGGTAAGGTGAAGAGGCAGAAGTATAGGTAGGAATGATAGATAAAATCCAGCAAGAGTTTTCTTAGGCACACAATTGAAAGGTCTGAATTCGCATATCATTTCTAAGTAGATAATAAGGCCCTTTTAACACAAGATGATCCACATCCAATTCGGTACCTGTGTGGATGAAAATTTTCATCTCCGGTAAGGGGGACAAAAGTCTCGTCCCACTGAAGTAAGGTATAAAGGTATAAAGGAAAGTTCATGAAGATCTTATAGGAAACCAGTAAAACATGTGAGGTCGAAACTCAGGGACAATATTCCAACAGATAGCTCCTGCCGAGTTCAAGGCTTTCGCGCAATCGAATGAGTGGATGGCACGGCATCGCACAGGCACAGGAAAGAGGGAGAAGGAAATGAAAAAAGATGAAAAAAAGAGAATAAGGTAGGCAGGGCAGGTAGGTAGGTCATGTCCCCCCCCCACCTTCCCCTCAGGCACGGTAGATCATCCTTTCACCTCTTGATCATACTCGTGATCCCCCCAGAAAGGAATTCTGACCGTGCGAGCATAATATGCACGAATGTTGTACGGTACGAGTAACCTAGATGGAGAGATGGAGGGAGGAG